TTCCGCCTCAGCCTTCCAAGTAGCTGGAACTACAGGCATGTGCTACCACGCCCGGCTAATATTTTGATTTATTGTAGAGATGAGGTCTCACCAAGTTGCCCAAGCAGGTCTCGAACTCACGGGCTCAGGCAATCCACTCACCTCAGACTCCCAAGGCGTGGGATTACAGGCTGAGCCACCAAGCCTGACTATTTACTTCTTTAATTTTTTTTTTTTTTTTTTTTGAGTTGGAGTCTCACTCGGTCACTCAGACTGGAGTACAGTGGCCGCTCCCGGCCACCGCAGCCTTGCCTGCTGGGCTCCGGCGATCCTTCCGCCTCAGCCTTCCAAGTAGCCGGAATTACAGGCGTGCGCTACCATGCCCAGCTGATTTTTTGATTTATTGTAGAGATGAGGTCTTGCTGCCTAGGTGGGTCTCGAACCCGCGAGCTCGGGCAATCCACTCACCTCAGCCTCCCAAAGGCGCAGGATTACAGGCTGAGCCACCAAGCCCGATTTACTTGTTTAATTTTTTAAAATTGAGTTGGAATCTCACTCTCGCTTAGGCTGGAGTTCAGTGGTACCCTCACAGTCACCGCAGCGTTGACCTGCTGGACTCAGATGATCCTTCCACCTCTGCCTTCCAAATAGCTGGAACCACAGGCGTACCACGCCCGGCTCATTTTTGATTTATTGTAGAGATGAGGTCTTGCCACCAGTCTTGCCGGGCTAATTTTTTGATTTATTGTAGAATCGAGGGCTTGTCAAGTTGCCTGGGCTGGTCTCAAACCCTTGGGCTCAGGCATTCCTCTCACCTCTGTCTTCTGCCTTTAGGCTGACTATTTCTTAGTCTTTGCAACTTCATATTCCACTACTTCCCTTCCCCCAATGATGTGTTCTTGTCACCCTCAACCACTTGATTTCCTGGAACACAAATGTTGATGCCTTTTTGCCTGCATGCCCTTGTTCCTGGATGGCATGCCTGTCCTGACTCATTCTGGTTTCTTCTAGATAACCTCTGACGTTTCATCCCGTGCAGAATTGATTCCTCCTTCCTGTGATTCCATATATCTTGGAACATATATTTACTAGAACTTTTTCATGTCCTTTTCTTTTTTTGTTTTTTGAGTTGGAGTCTCACTCTGTCACCCAGACTGGAGTGCGGTGGCCGCTCCCAGCCACTGCAGCCTTGACCTGCTGGGCTCTGGTGATCCTTCCACCTCAGCCTTCCAAGTAGCTGGACCTACAGGCGCGTGCTACCACGCCCGGCTCATTTTTGATTTATTGTAGAGATGAGGTCTTGCCAAGTTGCCGAGGCAGGTCTCAAACCCGCGGGCTCAGGCAATCCACTCACCTCAGCCCATGTCCTTTTCTAATTATTTTTTTTCTCCTCTGTTACTTGTGCCCAGCCTCTTATTCAAATTTGTATTCCAGTGACCAGTACAGTTGCCTGGCATGTAGTTGGTGGTCAGAAAAATGTGAATGAAAGGTACTTCTCCCTTTGCTCTGCCCCACAGTGTGACCCTCAAGTATGAAATCAAGAAGCTGATCTACGTCCATTTGGTTTTATGGCTGCTGCTGGTTGCCAAGATGAGTGTGGGACACCTAAGGCTCTTGTCACATGATCAGGTGGCCATGCCCTATCAGTGGGAGTACCCCTATTTGTTGAGCGTTTTGCCCTCTCTCTTGGGCCTTCTCTCCTTCCCCCGCAACAACATTAGCTACCTGGTGCTCTCCATGATCAGCATGGGGCTCTTTTCCATCGCTCCTCTCATTTATGGCAGCATGGAGATGTTCCCTGCTGCACAGCAGCTCTACCGCCATGGCAAGGCCTACCGCTTCCTCTTTGGGTTTTCTGCCGTCTCCGTCATGTACCTGGTGCTGGTGCTGGCGGTCCAAGTGCATGCCTGGCAGTTATACTACAGCAAGAAGCTCCTGGACTCTTGGTTCACCAGCACACAGGAGAAGAAGCGTAAATGAAGCCTGCCTGATGGACTACTCTGGAGTGAAGCCTGGGTCTCCTGTTGAACAAAAGGACAGTAATAGAGGAGTGATTTTAAAATCTCTTCTAGTGATTTTAGCAGCTGTGATACTGGCATCTACTGCAGACCAGCCAAAGTTGTGGAAAGCCCCTCCTGTTACTTTCTGCTGAGATGGCAAAACTATGTTTAATTTATTCCTGGTTGGCTAGAACTGAGTGACCAACAACTGTGAGACAAACAGATGGTTCAAGTTGAAGCGCTTTGGGGTTTTTCTTTAAGACTGAGCCTCATCCTTGCCTCCTTCCCTTTCCATCCATTACCCCTCAGCCACCAAGACTGAAGAAAAAAGGGAGTGTCAAACTCTACTTCCATCTGTAGTTCACAGGTCAGGAGACATTTGGGAAGCTGCTACCCTGCAGGCCGTGGTCTCTTCTGCAAAGCGTTTTGATTTAAAATAATAATAATAAAACTTAATAAAGACTTCCCTGTCAACTCTGTGACTTGTGTTTGGGGCTTGATAGAATGTAAAAATGTGTTGCTTGAAAGGTGTAACCTTGGACACTGAGAGATAAGTCGAAGCTCTGAGAAACCTGGCAGTGACCATAGAGATGTAGACTGGGCATGGGGAACTTAAGTCATAGTTTCACCTTGTAGCTGATTAGCAAGAACTATCATGGCCAGACACTTAAGCTCTCCATCTATAAAATGGTCCGTTCTCATTTATCTAGCTTGGTTTATGGGCTCTTTTGGTTAGATATTCAAAGTATTTCTGTTTATTGGGAGTTTACAATCTAGGTGAAACATGCTATACATGTGAAACAACCAATGAACATAATATCTAATGGTGCAAGTAAGTTAAAAATAGAAGTAGGAGGGGGAGGTGGGGAGAGGGGTTAGGGTTCAAAAACTACCTATGGGGCACAATGTTTTCTGACTGGGGAAAAGGCCACCTGAGACCCAGTCCCTACCACTACATAATACATCTCTGCAACAAACATGCTTGTGTACCCCCAAATCTAAAATTTTTAAAAATAGAAGTAGAAGAGATCTGTGATAAAAGGTTCTTTAACACCTAAAATTCAGACACAGTATTGCATGAAAGTTGTATGTCTCTTCACACTTTTTAATTTTATTTTATTTGTAGTCGGTCTCTGTTGTCCAGGCTGGAGTGCAGTAGCACAATCACAGCTACCGCGGCCTCACTCTGCTGGGCTGAGGCAGTCCTGCCTCAGCCTTCCAAGTAACGAGCCACAGGTGCATGCCACCACGCCCAGCTGGTTTTCTTTTTAATTTATTGTAGAGGTGAGGTCTCACCATCTTGCCCAGGCTGGTCTTGAGCCCCTGGGTTCAGGCAATCCTCCTGCCTCGACCTCCCAAAGTAGTGAGGTTACAGGTGTGAGCCACCTTACCTCACCTTCCTTTGCACTTTATTGTCTTTACATGATGCCTAGATCTGTAACTGCAGAATTCTGCGCTCTCCATAGTTGTAGTCATTCTTTTGTTCTATAGACATTATGTATGTACTTAGTCACTATTAGCTACTAGCAATTCTATAAATCCTCTTCCTCTAGATGTCTAATTTTTATCTAAAATCAGTATGTTCCAAACTCACCTTTGCCTTTCTGCCTCATGCCCATTCCTCTTCCTGCATCCCTGTGTTCAGATGAGTATACAGGAGCACAGCTCTGGGCCATCATCTGTTCCATGACCACTGAGTCCCTACCATGTGCTGATATTTTTGGAGCAACCTAAATGCTTTACTCTTTCAGAAGTTTTCCAAAGTGGTCCCAAGCCACCAGTCTTGCGTTATCACCCAGTACTCCCATTCACACACTGTCACTGTCTTAGTCAACTGAACCTCTTATGAATCCTCATATAGGTTTCATATGGGTTTTCCAGTTTCCTTTGCATAAAAGTTTCCCTTTTCTACTCTAAAGGGGGTAATGGCTAAGAAGCAAACAAAGGAACCCAACTCTTTTCCACTTGTATATTCCTTTATTACACATCCTTGAAGATTAATATGGTAATTCTGGAGCCTTTTGGTTTCTTAGATTGAAAGAGCGAGAATTCTTTCTCTGAATTTTCATTTTGCTGCTTTTGTTGACAGAATTATTAGTTTGCATGTGTTTTCTACACCTCCTGCACATGGTGTGCACTCTGATTTTATTGAACGAAGTCACTTGCCATACTGTAAACTAAAGTGAGAGTATACTTCACAGAGGATAGAACTAAGCTGAAGTATATCCCACTGCTAAATTTAGTACCTGCTGTGGACTACAGGGTTCAGAAACCCCCTGACTTCCCACGTATCTCCCTAAGCAGTGTGTTCTGGTAGAAAAAGCCAGACATAGTAGTGAGTCCCAGATGAGAAAAGTGAGGCTCATAGGAGAATAGTTGGCAGAACTTAGATGGGAACCCAGGTCTTTGGGTCTATCCTCTTAGGACACTATCTCCTGGGCCTCATACTTCTGAACCTCTTGCAGTGCTACAATGCTCAGTACTCTCTGATTTATTGGCAGGCTGATTAATTGACTTGGCAACCCTTTCCCCCACTGACTCCGGGGAAAGTGCCTTCATGGCTTCTAAGAGCTTCCTCCAGCACAGGTATGAAGTTTGTGTGTGTGTGTGAGAGAGAGAGTGTGAGATGTGTAATAGTGCATATGAGTATCACAGGCTTCAGGTCAGTTCTGGAAGGGACGTTTTTTGCACCTCAAGTGTCCTCTTACAGGCAGAATGCCAGCAAGGAGGGATACAGGCAGTGAAAGTCAGAGCAATGACTTTTCCTCTTTCACTCAGACCTAAAATGTATTCTGACTTGGCCTTACCATGATACAAGCTGCCTGAGCCAGCAGAGCACTGAGGAGGGGGAGCGATGTGGGGTATGGGCAAGGGTGGAGTAGGGAGGAACTCCAGATTATAGGAGAGAAGGCTGACTTCATCTCTTAGCTGTGTGTTTGGACAAGTTACCTAATCTCCCTGAGTGTTTCCCAGTCTCTAAAATGGGGTAATAACACCGACCCTATGGGTTGTAGTACTAATAAAATGAGACAAAGTGTGCAAAGTATATGACCCAGAGCCTGATAACAGAATTTCAGAAAATATTGGTCCCATGCTCTCTCTTCCCCAGGGCGTGCTGGAATTCACCCCTATGCTTTTACCTTACATACTTTTTGGAACAGTCTCCAAAATAAATAAGTAAATCAGTAAGACAATAAATAAAATGCATACCTGTTTTCTCTCTTTTTCACTCTTTCTTACTTTTATTCCTTTTCTTTCTTTCTTTTTAGTTGGAGTCTTGCTTTGTGCAGCTTCAACCTGCTGGACTTGGGGGATTCTTCCACCTCAGCCTTCCAAGTAGCTGGAACTACAGGTGTATGCCACCATGCCCAGCTAATCTTTTGGTTTATTGTAGTGATGAGGTCTCACCATGTTGCTCAGGCTGGTCTCGAACCTGTAGGCTCAGGCAATCCTCTCACCTCTGCCTCCCAAAGTGCTGGAATTATAGGTGAGAGCCACCGCGCCTGGCTCCTTTTCCTTTTCTACATGCTCTTTTTCTTCCCTTTCTTCCTTCCCTTCTTTCTCCCTTCCCTTCCTCCTTCCCTCCCTCCCTTCCTTTCTTATTGTCTCTATTTTTTTTCTATTTTGCTTCTCCTATCATACGTTAGCCAGGGTCAGGGAGCAATCAGCCAATATTTTATTTTTTTATTTTTTTGAGTTGGAGTCTCACTCTGCTGCCCAGACTGGAGTACAGTGGCATGCTCACCACCACCACAGCCTGGACCTGCTGGGCTTAGGCGAACCTTCCGCCTCAGCCTTCCAAGCAGCTGGAACTACAGACGCATGTCACCACATCCAGCTATTTTTTAATGATTTATTGCAGAGACAATGTTTCACCAAGTTGCCCAGGCTGGTCTTGAACCCACAGGCTCAGGCAATCCACTTGCCTCGGCCTCCCAAAGTGCTGGGATTATAGGCTGAGCCACTGCGCCTGACCAAGCCAATATTTTCACTGTGAGAGTCAGATCAGAGGATAAGGGTCAAGAAAGAAGATTGCTTTACAATAGAATCAAGTTTCTCACTTCATGCCCCAACATTAGAAAACTCGTTATTTATGAGGATCTAAACCACTATGAGGTAGAATGTGGGGGAGGCTCCCTAACCTGTTCTTAGTATGGCCAGACCACCCTTTCTTCACTTCGAATCTCACTGATGTGTTTTCAGAGAGGAATTTCAAGGACAAAGACAGTGCTGTGTCAGGCAGACCCATCTGGGTTCCAAGAGCAGAGGAAGACAAAGCAGTGGAAGAGGAGAATATAGGATGAAAGAAAGAATTGAGTTGCGAGGGCCTAGCAAAAGTGGAGCTTCCTGGGCTACAGACTTTGACCTTGTCCAAATCATTTTCCTTTCTGCTTCCTTATCTCTTTTTTTTTAATGAAATTAAAACAGTAATTATCACTTATCTGTCTCACCAGGTGGTTAGGGGGATAAATATGAAAGTGCTTTATGAAGTGTGAAATAGATAAACTGCAGCTGAAATGTATCATAATTTCCATCTATTCTGTAATAGAGCACTCATTTCATGATATTCACTGCTAGGCATTGAAGTGTGAGGCCGAGCTTGATAGCTCAGCCTGTAATCCCAGCACTTTGGGAGGCCAAGGTGAGTGGATTTTCTGAGCCTGTGGGTTCGAGACCAGCCCAGGCAACTTGGTGAGACCTCGTCCCTACAATAAAATAAAAAATAGCCGGGTATGGTAGCATGCATCTGTAGTTCCCACTACTCAGAAGGCTGAGGGGGAAGGATCACCAGAGCCCAGCAGGTCAATGCTGGGGTGGCGGTGAGTCTGCCACTACACTCCAGCCTGGGTGAAGGAGTGAGACTCCAACTCAAAACAAAAACAAAAGAATACTAAAGGGTTTTTATCTTTTAATGAATTCAAAAGCTAGAGGCTATTTTTTTAGGATAATGGGTGGAATGCAGCCTTCAGACAGTGAACCTGAAGACTTAGGAATAGTACCGGACAGAAGCAGATAGTAGTTGGGCTACTGAAAGGTGGTCCGGATTGAGTTGCAGGGGGACAATAACAATTCAAGCTGCCTGGTAGTGTACTCCAAACTTTCTTTCCACTGTGTGTATCACTAAGGTGAGGGCTAAAGCAACTCAAATGCTCCACTGGGGGGAGGAAGCTGTGAGATGATGGGGAGGGTTCCCACAAAGATGGAGCCTAGTCAGCCTTTCTCCCATACCGGAAACCACAGGAAACCAGGTCAGTGTGTGGGGCCCACTCCCTTTGCTCCAGGGCTCAGCTATGAGCTCTGGGGCTTCCTGAACAGGCTTTACTGACTAGTGTGTCTTTAGTTGGAGGCCCCTTTGGCATGGATTCCTTTGCCCAGAAGAGCGGGAACTGGTTAATAGGTAAAGAGAGCTTGGCTCTAGTCCAGAGAGGGCACATATGGGGGCATGTGAGGTGTGTGTGCATCCCCTGGTGCTTTTTTTTTCCTCCCCAGCTCTAAATGGTGCCTCAGTCACCTCTGTATCTCCAGCACCCAGTGCAGAGAAGTGCTTGGAGACCCAAGTTGATGGGTGTTGATGGGCGGGCCAGATCTGCAGGTATTGCAAGAGTAGGAGGGGTTAAGAAATGGGCGTACCCCCAATTTAGTGCTTACCCCTTTCTCATTATTTCTCTGCCACAGCAAGAACCCCTTGTCTTTCGGGGGGAGGTAGTAAGTTTTCCTGGGGGACAAGCATTCCTCAGTCCCTGCACTTGGAAATGAAGGAATGTGGCCAGGCTGGCTGGTTAGGATCGAGGAGGAGCTTGAGGGCAGGGCGGGGCCCCAGGCAGGCTGAGGCGAGGGCTCCGGCTGGAACTGTGTTTCTTACTGCTGCACAGCAAGGCCCTGCCACCCACCTTCAGGCTATGCAGCCATGTTCCGGACGCCCTGATCGCACAGAAGCCCATGGGGAGCCCCAGACTGATAGCCCTGCTCCTGCCTCTCCTCCTGCTACTCTGTGGTTTCTCTGCCTCTGCTAGGATTGGCTGTGCCCACCTGCCCCACTGGAGCACCCACTGTTTGCTGGCCTCCCACATGGTGAGGTGCCGCTGTCAGGTAGGGACAACCGCCTGGCACAGGCATAACACTCCTCACTCCCCGGCTGCCCTTTGCTACCTCCCCAGCCCCTGTGCTCTGATGGTAGCCTCAGTGTGTCCTCTGCATAGTCTCAAAGGAGTAACCAAGGTCTTGATGTGTTGAGGGCATGGACAGAGTAGAGCTGGAAAGAAAGGAGTCAGAGTAGAAGGACTATTGGCTATGGATCTCAGAATTGCATGATTCGAGGCAAAGACCCCAGGGAGAATGTTCCTTATGGGGGTCCCTACTGATAATGCCTTTCTTCTTTCTTTTCTCTGCTGGATACTGTACCCTCAGGATGACAGTTTCACTGGTAAGTCTCACTTCCTGCCCCATTCCTCTTCCCCACACCCCCTTTTGCTCCAGGTCCCCACAAGCCCTCCATTCTAATTTTTGGTTCACAACTTGGGAGGTAGCACAATATTAAGGAAAAAGTACGGGTTTGGAATCAAGCTAAGTTAGGATCTGCACTGTGGTTCTGCTGCAGATTCCCATGTAGCCTCAGAACAATTGACTTAACCCCTCCAACTGACCATCAGTTTCTGAGGAGTAGTGTAGCATAGTAGAAATCATTATACAGTAGAGACAGTGCTGCTTCTAACCTGTTGGGAGGATTAAATATGAGACACATAGAAACATAACTATAACATGAAACAAAAACAATCAAATAAGTGTGAGATGTAGGTAAATCTCCAGGCACTTCATAAATGTTGGTTTCTCCCCTTGAATGGTCCCTCACTCCTATCAATAATACAACAATAATCCTTCACATTTTATGGCGCATTCTACTCCGTAAGACATTTTCCCACACAGTACCTTATATGATTTTTACAAAAGCCCCACTTAATGAATGAGGAATTGGATACTTAGAGAGGTTGTGTAACTTGGCCAAAGTCGCACTTTCAAGGTATAAGTCGCAAGCTCAGCCTCAAATCCAACTTATCTAAGGTAGGAGGGACCTAAGACCCTATCATTTGCTTTCCTTTACATCTTTCACAGGAAGTTTTGCCCATATTCCTTGCTGTGCCTGGTTGGCTCTCCTCTCCACAAAGCCTTGGTATGGTCGGCTCTGGCTCTGTTCCCGCTGTTTGTGCCTGCATCTGTTATCAGATTCCTCAGGTACGAGAAACTGCCCTACTCAGGGCCATTCTTAGTGAAGATGTGAATTAGGGACATTTTTAGGGGGCCACCTAGGCTGAGGTATGTGGAACCTGTAACGCTAGAATAAATATTTGGTCCGTTTCAATCTCAACACAGACTTAGAGAATTCTAAAATAGCACACTACAACTGATACTCATGAGTGTAATTGCATACTTTTGTGAAGGTGGTCATCTTTTCACGTAAGATTCTTGGGATTAAAAGTTTTGACATCTATGAACTTTTACCTTCTATTTGTAAAGTAAGACTTTCTTTCTAATGCAACTCTATATTTTAATTGCCTAGCTTAGTGCCTGGTATATACCAAATGCCCATACACTGCTTAAGAATTAGCAGTTTCTAATTTTTTTTTTTTTTTGAGTTGGAGTCTCACTCTGTCACCCAGACTGGAGTGCAGTGGCCGGTCCCGGCCACCGCAGCCTCGACCCTCTGGGCTCCGGCAATCCTTCCGCCTCAGCCTTCCAAGTAGCCGGAACTACAGGCGCAAGCTACCACGCCCGGCTAGATTTTGATTTATTGTAGTGATAAGGTCTCATCAAGTTGCCCAGGCAGATCTCGAACCCGTGGGCTCAGGAAATCCACTCTCCTCGGCCTCCCAAAGTGCTGGGATTACAAATTGAGCCACTGAGCCCGGCCTCTAATTTTTTACTGTTAGAAATAATGCTACAGTGAACATCTGTGTATATAGAGCTTTTTTGGTACTTAAGACATTAGTCATTTTTTTTTTGGTTGCATTATAATTTTCAAGACTAAAGAAGCTTGACATCCTCACCCTCCTTGATTTAAAATGACTTACTATACAACATTGGGCCATGGCTCCATGTGGGGAGGGACAATGAGGGGCTAGATAGTAAGTGTGTCCTCTCTTGCACAGGCCTTCAGCGGGGCTGCTTCCACCTGCTGGTGCAGAAATCCAAGTATTCCAAGTTCAAGTTCTGTAGGAGACACAAGAGTCCATTTGCTCAGGTACTCTCCCTGCCAGTTCCTGCCCTATCCTATGCCCCACAACTCCATTCTTTTTGGCCTCTCATTTTGTTCTCCGGCCATGTGAGAGAGAAAGTATGGAGATGAAATAGAATATTCTGTCCACTACAGAGTAAAGGAAACTGAGGCCAAAAGAGGTTGAGCAACTTACCTAGGGTAACTTAGGTTTCAGATGCAGAAACAGAAACCAGATTTCTTGATTCCTGGCCTAAGGCCGACCTTGTAATCTGCCTACAGAGGAAGCTGTTGGGTAGCTGTTTCCTGTCTGAGAAGAGCCATCACATTTCCATCCCCTCCCCAGACATCTCCCGCAAGGGACTGCGCTCCAAAAGGACCCAACCTTCAGATGCAGAGGCAGTGGAAAGTCTACCCAGACTGGACTCACAAAGGCACGGAAGTAGGCATGGGGTAGGACAGGAGATGGGTTCAGCTGAGTAGTGGTACCTGTACTAAGGCCAAGAGACAAGGCCACTGAGTCCCTCCTCTCGCCAGGGCCCGAGTTCGCCTTTGATTTGCTGCCTGAGGCACGGGCTATTCGGGTGACCATTTTTCCAGGTCCTGAGGTCAGCGTGCGTCTTTGTCACCAGTGGGCACTGGAGTGTGAACAGTTGAGCAGTCCCTTTGATGCCCAGGTATGGAGTGCCATCACTCTGTAAAAAATCCTATCACACAATGCTATAGCAAAAGAGGCCCACTCACTGTAAAAGTAGGGAGATGGAGGCCCAGAGAGGGAAGGTAATTGCCCAAATCTCCTTACATGCATTAAGTCTTCACTGGACCAGACAGAAAAGGCAGGGGGCCTTGTCATCTAGGAGGAAAGGAAAGGCAGGGGCAGGCAGAGACCTGGAATAAACACGAATGACAAGGAGATAAATGAGTATGGTGTTAACCTCCAGTCACTTGGTGTGATTCAGGTTGCACCAAAGAATCTTTTCTTGAGCTTCAAGTCAGTGACAAGTGAGAAAAAAGAAATAGAAGAAAAAATAGCTAAGAAAAAAATTTTTTTTTGAGTTGGAGTCTCACTCTGTCACCCAGACTGGAGTGCAGTGGTCGCTCCTGGTCACCGCAGCCTCGACCTGCTGGGCTCCGGCGATCCTTC